GTGCTCTAGTTTTTTTGTGTTATTTGTGGTCTGGTCACTTTTTTCCTCTTTTGTTTTGAGCAAGGAAAACGGTGATTGTAAAAAGTCAGATGGTAAAAACAAAGCAACCAAAAGGTATTTAGAGTACTTCAGATCCATTTTATTAGTTAGAATGAACATCTAGATTTAAGAAAGCCTACTTGGAAGCGTTTGTAGTATAAATGAAAGAAGGCTTTGGCACAGGCTGCCCAGAGAGGTGGTGGTGTCACCATCCCTGGAGGTGTTCAGGAGCCACGGAGATGTGGCACTGAGGGACGTGGTCAGTGGGCAGGATGGGGATGAGCTCTTGCTTGGACTAAGTGGTCTTAGAGGTCTTTTCCAACCTTAACGATCCTATGATTCAATAGAGAAACCAACGTTTTGAACTTTATATTGTAAAAAAAGTTCTTAATGAGAAAACCACTTGACTGGAATGCTGTGTATTAGGTTTATTAAGTTGGAGAGAGCAAGGCAAGAAATTCTCAAAGGAGGAATGAATATTGATGAGAAATAGCTTAAAGATCATAGATGCCAAACCGTAGATAAGAAGAGAGAGCTGGCTGTGAGTTTTGTATGAAAAAACTTCCTTGCTGTGTTTTAAAAATTAATGTGACTTGCTATTATGTTAAAGAAAAGCTTATATTGTGATAGTCAAGTTATTATTTGAGTTTTATAAATGTGTCAAGCCAAGCCAGAGAACAGTCTTTAGCAAGTTGTCACACAGATAACATATTGTGGTGCAGATTTGGACAGTGGTCATTGCTCCTGCTGGTGTGAGAAGGGCCTCCACCTCCTGCATTAGGGGAATTGGAATTTGGCCTCAATCAATGTTTTCCAGAATTTATAGCATTTAGAATCGTCGAATCAATGAAGTTGGAAAAGACCTCCAACATCATCCAGTCCAACCATCCACCTGCTACCAATATTTCCCCACTAAATCATGTCTCTTACTACAGCTAAAAGCTTCTTGAACACTCATATAGAAAAGTGTACCTTGCTCACGGAAAGATGAGTTCAAAGGTTGAAACTGGTGCTTTGTGATTTCTTTTGATTTTACAATTCTCTTGATTAAACAAAGAAGTGGAAATCTTTAATCTGCTTTCTAATTTCCTGTACTTTCATTTCTAGTCCTTGAAAATGAGCTCTGAAAAGAGCTGTGTGTGATTAAAATCTTAGAGAACATGATTGAAAAGGTGAAGGGGCTCAGTTTTGTACCCAAGAACCCCCTGTATCTGGTGCCCCTGCCCTCAACTTGTGCATGGTGGTGGATGTCTGTTGTGGTTCAGGGATGCCTAACGGCCACCTGTAAAGGGAACTGGTCTCTTCCTTTGACCTCATACCTCCACTTCTGGTAGTACAGCCCTGTGTGCTGTTAGGCTTCCTTGCTATTTCTGTCCTATAGCTTTTTTTTTTTTTTTTTAAACTTTGTGGAGTTATTTTAGTCTCTTTCCTTTGAGCAGTACAGTCACAGGAATGTGTTGTTCTTTGAGCTTTGTAGGCCAGAGTTGAAGAGCTATTGCTGTTTGTATTTGGTCTGAATGCTACCAAGATGTTCAAAAAGTTATACTCAGTGAAACCTTTCTTTGAGGTGTAAATCACAGAATCACAGAATGGCCTGGGTTGAAAAGGACCACAATGCTCATCCAGTTCCAACCCCCTGCTTTGTGCAGGGTCACCAGCCAGCAGACCAGGCTGCCCAGAGCCACATCCAGCCTGGTCTTGAATGCCTCCAGGGATGGGGCATCCACAGCCTCCTTGGGCAACCTGTTCCAGTGTGTCACCACCCTCTGGGTGAAAAACTGCCTCCTAATATCTAAATTAAACCTTCCCTGTCTCAGTTTAAAACCATTCCCCCTTGTCCTATCAAATGAACAGGAGAATTATCTGGGAAGCATGTGCCCTGTCATTTAAACGTTAAAAACGGAACAGATCTGTAGAAAGTTGTTCAGCCACAGATGCCGTGAGGTGTCTTGGATAACTGCACTTGGAGACATTGCCTTTTTAGTTCTATAACATACAAAAATACAGGTGCAGCTCTCTTGGACGCTGTCTTAAGTATGTGCTGTAGTTCAGCCTTGTCTAACCTTGTCAACCTTCCATTAATTGTTTCCCCCCACTTTCTCCAAATAAAAGATTCTGTGTGTCACTGGGGACTGTGTAGGGTGTGGGAAATTTTATCAGTAGAAGGGAAGCAATGGGAAGCTAAGGCGAAGGTCTTGGGGAGAGCAACCTCTGAGAGAGTGAGTATGGATGAAATATTAGCTGTCTTTAAGCCTTCCAGAGCAGGTGATTATACATGGCTGGCTAACTTAATTATTAATAATACTTAATTATTTCCAGCACTTGTAATACTGTTTCCCAATTGTATAGGCACCTTATTTACCAGCTGCATCTTTAAAGCAGTCCTTGGTTGTATCAGTGACCCTTTTGCTTGGAATAACTCCATCTTTCAGTCCTGTTTTCCATCAGTTGCCATTATTACAAAATCGTGCAACACTTTCTGAACTTCCACCTGCTTTTTGCCAGTGGAGTTCACAGTTGGGTTGAGTTTGCTGGATCACATTTGCACAAGGTCGGAAAGAACTTTTTTTATTTTTTTGTAGGAACATGGGGATAGTTATTGCTATAGTAGTCACAGAATGGGTTTGAGAAAAACAACAACCTATTTCTGCTTAGAGTTCAGCAGGCAGGTTTGCTACAGGCACTTTCCGTTGATGTCATATAGCAGCTTTCTGTACTTCCAGCTCCAGAAGTTACTTCCTTGGGCACTTTCATTGTGTGTGAGTGTTTTCCCTCCTCCTGACCACCTCCTTTTTGCATCGGTCTCAGTGCAGCTGCAGTGCAGCTTCTTGTTTCTTTCCTTCCTTTCTTCTAGCCCCTTTTCCTTTCTTTGTCTTTGCAGGTTGTGCTTTACATTTGGCCAAGAGGGGACCATAAGGGAAGCTAAAGCTTTGACAGATAGAGTTCCTAGTTTTTTAGTACTTCCATTTGATTTATTTTATTTTTTTTTTTTGTGGGAGACCAAAGCCACTCCATCTGCATGTCATCTCTGCCCGTGTGATACAGATGCTGCGGGAGGGAATCCACCAAGTTATCACCATGCTACTCACATAGTAACAGTTGTCAGTATACACACTGTGCTCTGAAAGCTGCATCTGTCACAGGTGGAAGCTGCTTTTGGGTTAGTATGTTACTGCAGGTAGAACTGCAGTTCTGGTGTTTTCCAAAAGGCTCAAAGTGAGCTGAGTTGGCAGGATAGCTGTCAAGAGTAAATTTAATGCTGTTTCCAAACACTTGTTTGTACATTTAATTTATCCTGAGCTTTTTAAACTTGTACAAGAAAAGGGGGGGCGGGGGAAACAACCAACCAACCAACCCCAAGAAACATCAAATACCCTTTTTTTTTGTCCTCTGTGAGAACAAACTAAAAAACATGTACATAATTGGGAGCAATAACAATGGTATTTAATCACCTGAGCAAACTGGCTGCAAGATTCAGTGGTCATTTGTGGACCAACTTGAGTTCAATTCATTTACCATCCAAAGTGAATTTTTCCCTTGGTCAGAAGCAGCATGCAGGATTTAGCTGCTTTGTTACAAGGTATAGAAGTCTAATTGCTTTAACAGTTGTGGGTGTTATTCCCTATCTTTTTGTTTCTTCTGTTTCCTAACTTCACCAGATCTTTAGTTCTTGGTTTCTGGCTGCCTGTGAGTTTGATTTGCTTGCTTGTGCAATTGCAGTGATTGCAGGTTATTTTGTGAAAATGCAGTTCTGTTAAGCACCCCACGAATGCTCAAAACTTAAAACTGTGTCATACCTACAAGCCTGGGTTGGACCTTTCATGTTGTCACATCAGAACAAAGAAAACCATACCAGAATGAAGTGAAGACAGATGAATTCAGGTTATAAACTTGTTTCCATATTAGCAATTAAACATATAATGCTGCTGTGTTTTTGGAATTACTGTGTAGCAGCACTGGGAACAATGCAAAAAATCCCAAATTCTCCAAGGCTGATAGTAAAATCAAGATGCTGTGAGCCATAGTCAGGTAAGAAATGCTGACACTGTGCCTGTAAACTGTAAAAGCTAATCTCTGTAGAAGGGAGAAGACAAATGAGGGTGAAGGAGATCTGTAGTTGTAAGTGCAAAACCTTTCTCAAAGCTCACTGACTGGTGAATGAATACAGAAAATAACTATATTTTTGATAGCTGGACCTTTTGGAAACTTCTGATACAATCTGCTGCAGCAGCTCACATGGATGTAGCCAGAGTTCACTATTTGGTATTGTACTGGAAACGTGGGGCAGCATGAGCCCAGATTTATGCTATTAACATCCAGCTAGTAGCATCATGTGGTGTGAGGCATCATACAGTAGAAGGGGAACAAAGAAGAAACGTGGTGAAGGTTTGTAAAGGCAAAAGCAGTGGCACTGTTGGCACTGTAGCTCTCAGCTGGGACAGGTGGGCGTGCTGCTTGGTGCCATGACATCTGCATTGTCCATTTCGGTAGAAAACACTTTTTGTGAGAATATAAGGAGAATATAAGCAGAATGGTGAAGGCATCTTGGGTGCCCCAGGTAAAAGTTTATACAGAAGCAGTCCCTGTGAATTCCCAGTTTAACTTTGGCTGTGGTTTGTACGCTTACATTATCATGTCCTGCACAGGCTTTTAATTCTGGTACGTGCTGTGGAACCCATGGTGCCTTGCCTCTCCCTGCGTGATGGCTTCAAGGCTCATGCAGTACAAGTTATACATAGTAACTTGGTCCATGTAATTCCTCTCTGCTTTGATTCTGTGCTATGGAAGTGCTATTTTTGGTTTCATATCTGTTTTCCTGCAGGATGGTGATGATTCATCCCCCATCAATAAACCAGTTACTAAACTCTCTTCTTTAATAAGGTGTTTGGATGCTTAAGGTACTTTTCTTTGATTGACAAAATGTTTAATTTGTTCACTGATGCTATCATTTCTGTTTATAGGAGAGGTCTCCTCACAATTTACATGGCAAATCAAGTAAGTAATCCTTTATTCAAATGGTAAAAATGTGTGAGATCGTTGGAATTGTTTTTGAAACCACTGTCAAATACTGTGCATACAAAAATATTTACCAGATGGTTGTGCCAGTTTGGTTTTTCTCATGGAAAAAATAGTAGTAGTAAGTTTATCTAAATTCATACTTTGTACCTTAACTTTTTCTAAAAATGTACTTTTATTACATGATCATACTTTAGGAATGACTGTGTTATGCCAAAATAATTATCTAACCAACCTAGAACACTGTACTTTACTGTGGCCTTGAGGGAATCACGTGGACTTTGAAGATTCATTAATAGAAGTATTGAGGCAAAGGCAATTTCTTGCAGCACAGATCAGTGATAACACTGATACTTTCTCTTCCATCCTGGTAAGTCATTGTTGGTGACAGTTGTAATTCTGAGGATTCTTGGTAGGGCACTGTAACATCATCTCTTTCTGAATGTCTTCCAAGAAAATATCCTACCCATATAAATAAATGCATTTACAAATTCTATTAGAATTCCCTCTCAAATTTAGGTGTGTAAAAAAATGTCTCTTAAACAGGAGTTGGTTCTTGGCCTGTCCTGAAATAGCCATGACTAGGGTTCACAGACTTCAGAAGAGAGTAATTTAATTCTCACCATGAATTATATTGATTTCAACTACTGTCTTCTATAGCCATATGATCTGGATGGTTCATACTTTAAGATTCCTTTTCTTTGTAAAGTTGTTTCTAATTTGAGGAGGAGACTAACCATTTTCTTGAAATTAATATAATTCTATGTTCAGATCCTCAATAACATGCTAATGTGGCATTGAATTCCTACAAGGGTAACTTTAATATAGAAAAGTTTGGATTTTTCTTTGAACCAAGAGCAGCAACTGTGTAGAAACTTCTTGTTCAGGACGTGCTGGTGGTCATGTCATCACTCATTGGGAGCAGACTTTTCAAGAGAAGGACAAAATAGGTGTGCTTAACAGCAACACTCTGAGTGTCCCTACTCTGAGAAAGCTATCGGTATGTTTGCAGCTCTTAAACTGTGATACCAACAGCTCACTTGGGCAGTTCAACAGTGTTATAAAGGAAAAATCAACAAATTTAATTCTATTTTAAAGAGGCTGTTTGATTCCATGAGTGTTGTGTTTAGCATAATGGTTTATTTTAGTCACACATGTTTGAACTTTGCACAGCCAAGGATTTGCCCTATAAATTGCCCTTGATCGTGATGTACTTTCCTCGTTAGCAACCTGTGTAATCACTGTGAATGTTTGCCTACCTGTGTTGCTTGTCTCTGGTTGAGAACTTTATATGCTTGGTTAAGATTTACTCATAACTTTACAATGCCTTTAAAATATTTGTTATCTCTAGATTGCAGCATGTTCTGAAAGCTGGCAAGCTGCACTTATTAATACTGTTATCCACATTTCAGAGCTGGAGCATAATGTGACTCAAGCTAACTTTTAGGTAATGAAAATGCAACGTGTAACTGGAACATGAAGTGACTCTTGCATTCTGTAATACTATCTTCAGGGCCTATTAAAGTGCTCTTTGAACTAAACACACGGCATTGTTTTGTTTCATATTTGCTAAAGTATGTTTTGCAGTCTGAGCAACAGTAATTATGTCTTTTTGTGTTTTGTCATGAGTGCTTTCGTCTAGTTAGAGGGGGGTAATTGTAATTAGGTTTATTGCTTATTACAAGCAATTATCTTGGCTATTGATTCAGTGAATTTTTATAGCCACATGAGGACTTCTAAAATAGAAATTTGTTCTTACTGTCCTATTAGCAATGGTCAACGGTTTGTGGTACGGGTGAACTTATGTAGTGAAATGGGCACAGGTATATTAAAGCCATGTATATGGCTGCTGTTATGGAGTGGAAGGCAGGAGGTGGAAGAACTCTTGTTCTGGGCAATAACATCTTTATTGATTTTTTTTTTTTAATATTATTATTTTTTTCATCTCAAGCTACATAAGTGTCATGACTAATTGTAAGTAATCCAGTAATTATAGATTTGTGTGACCCTGAACTCCCAGGTTGTATTTTCTGACTGCTTACACAATAAAATGGCATTAAAAAACATAAGAACCATAGAATCTATGATTAACAACTTATTTTTAATAAGTTGTTAATACTATACATGCTCTGTGGAAAATTTGGATGGAAGTAGTTTCTTAAGGTAGCTTTCTGCTAGACTGCATCTATTGGAACAAAACCCCTAAGGACTGGATTTTTATGGGAATACTGTGCTTTCTGGAAGCTGAAGTTTTTTAGAAATAAAGTAATATACGTGGTTGAAAATGTGGGTTTGGACGTTTTTAACTTGTAACTTGTCTAAGAACTGACATTTGTGATCCCCAATACAGACCTGCAGTAGCAGTCTGTGCTGAGGACCACACAGCAGCACGGAGCCTTTCAAGTTCTATTTTGGATTGCACTTGTTCAAGTCAAGACATTTCTAGGATTGTAAGTGATGCATTGGTGGTGAACATATAGGATAACCCTTCATGGATAATTTGAGATCAAAAGGAACCCCAAGATTCCAACAAAAGGTGGAAAGTGAAATGTAATCTCGTCAGTTATTTTTATCTGGAAACGATGATGATAGTAATAAATGGGCACCCATGATTAATACCTATAGTTCTTATGTTTCAAAACAGTTATGGCATACTTAATGGTGAACAGTTTGACATTTGAGTTGTTGCTTTGAAGCTGAAGAAAAAAGTTGGCATTTTTGTGTTGAAACAAAGTCTGAATTCAGTTTAAAAATTTAAAAAATAAAAAATAAAAATAGGAAGAAATTAACCTGGGCTAGGACTTTTTGTTATAAAAGTTTGAGAAATAAAATTATTGGAAAACTGACGCATTGGAATGTTCACCAAGAGAAAATGCTTCTTAGCATATACTGAAGTATAAAAAGGATTTCTTGCTCTTACCAAAAAGAAATTGAGTTTTACTTATATTCTTGAACTTGAAATTTGAACTGCACCTCATTATGTCAAAGGCTTCCTTTGCTTTGTTCTGTAATTTCTACTTTATTTGAATGCAATCATTTATGTTGGAAAAGGCCTTCAAGGTCATCAAGTGCATCTACCAGTCTGACCTACCGAGTCCCATCACTAAACCATGCCTGACCACCCTCTTCATGAATAAATTCTTCCTGATATCCAATCTAAACCTAACCTGGGTGATGTAAGGCTGTTTCCTCACTGTTGCAGACCTCCAACTCACCTCCTATCCCTTGTTACCTGAGTAAAGAGACCAACACCTCACTGCAACCTCCTTTCAGGTATTTGTGGAGAGTGATGAGGTCTCTCCTCAGTCTCCTTTTCTTCAAACTAAACAACAAAAGTTCCATCAGCCATTCCTTGTAACTCTCATTTTCTAAAACTCTTCACCAGCTTTGTTGCTCTTTTCATATAGTCTCAACTCAATATCTGCTTGTTACTGGGGCCCCAAACTGAAGGTGGCTCTTGAAGTGCAGTCCCATGGGAGCTGAGTAGAGAGAGGGACCATCTCTCCGCAGCCCTAATGGCCACACTATTTGTGATACAAGCCAGGATACCATTCACCTTCTTGCGCCTGGGTGTGCTGCTGTTTCATGTTCAGCCTGCTGTCAAGTAACACCCCCAGATCCCTTTCTATTAGACAGCTTTCTAGCCACTCTTCCCCAAGCTTATATCACTATGTGGAGTTATTTTGACCCAAGTGTGGGACCCAGCACTTAGCCTTGTTTAATGTCATGTATGGTGCTGTACTTACAAAATGGGAAATGTTAACATTAACAAGTTGTTCATCGGGGTCACAGGTTAAACAATGTAAAGTTCAAACGTGAGATGAAGCAGCTGGATGCAGAAGGCAGCATGGCACTATGGGGGACTTGTTCTTGAGTGCAGTGGGAGGAATTAGCATAGGAATCACTCCCGGCCATAGCAGCAGGCGTTAGGGAGTGGTAAAAATATAGTTCTGAAAAATAAGATGAGAAAGCAAGAAAAGGACAAAGTAGAATCTGAAGATGAGATATTAGAACTCTTAATAGCAAGAATTATGGAGGAATTGAAGCTAGGCTGCTGTAATGGCAGTTGGATGAGAGGAAGGCAGTGGAAGAAGTTGATCTGTTCTACGTGCAGAGAACAGACGATAAAGAAAATGGTTGCTATGCAGGGAAAGGAAGTGATGAATTTTGCTGCAATTAACACAAAGAGAAATTTAGCAGGAGCCCAGAGTGAGTGACAAAGAAGGCACTGTTTTTGGTGTCCTGGGTATGGCAGCTGGAGAAATTGTCAGCAATTGCATCTGGATGAATTTAATGCAGAAACATGGCTAGTCCATGTTATACTCGCTGCTGTTCTGATGTTAGCTCATCAGTGCACCTGTCAGTGAAGAAGTATTTTAATATACCGTATACCAAGGGAAGAGATGACGTATTAGGAGAAGAAATGTGCAGCCATGCCTGCCATCAGTAGTAAGGAAAAAGAATATTTTCCTATCAGAGTTTAGAAGGAAGAGTACATCTTCCTAAATGCAATGTAAAACAGATCCCTCATTGGAGATGGGTATTAGTGAAGAGAAACACTACTGTTAGAGGTAGATATGAATAAGGAGAATTGCTGAGAAAACAGTCAAGAATATAACAGGGGAAAAACTTCAATGTTTTGTACATTTTGAACTTACGATGTTTTTTGGAAAATTTGGGGGCTGCTGCTGAAGCTGAGAGCTTGCTTACTGTGTTACTATTTCTCTCAGCAAACCAACTCTTTCCATATATCTGCTGTCATAAAAATACTGTTCATTGGTATTTTGAGTCCTGTTTGGAAATACCTAAAGCTAATGAAAATGTTGCTCACATTAAACAAATACTGAATCAAACGAATTGGTTGAAGGCACTTGAATGGGCAATGCTGTTTCAGTATGTGATAGAGCGCAGTGCTGTAACTGAGCATGGCTTCTTGCACTTTTAAAGTAGTCCAAGCAGTACCAGAGTTGAATTGTTTT